TTATAATATATATTATATGTAGAAAAAATTAAAAATAGAAAATAGAAATAATAGTAAAGTACTCTGAAAAACGCAGAAAATTATTTAAATAATAATAATTATTATATTAAGATCTACTGATTAAACGTTCATGAGCTTCAGCCAATTGTTGTTCCAACATCCTTATCCTTGTATCTTTTTCCATATTTTTATGTTCTAAACCTTTCTTCTCGCTTTCCATAACAGCGATTTTTGTATTTAGTTCACTGTTTTCATTTTTCAGATCAGACACTTGATTCTCTAGTGATTCCATCTTCATCACTTTACGGAGTCGACTTCTTCTAGCTGCATCAGTATTTTTTGCTCGCTTAACAGCTAATTCTTCAGCAATCATTTCAGGATCTTTGCCTATTTCTTCTGATGATCTTTTACGACCACTGTTATTACTACTACTATTAGTGTTATTGTTGTTGTTGTTGTTGTTGTTTTTACTACTAATATTAAATGAAGAAGAAGAAGCGGTCGCGGGTGATGATGTTAAACTACTGTTTGTAGTACTTGTAGAAGCATTATTGGCATTATTATTATTAATAAAGAAGTCAGAAATAAAATCTTCTGTGTCATTTGTTGTATCGGCCCATGGAATATTAAGAGCCGGTGATGATGATAAAGATGTTGTTTTTGAATTAGTGGTAGAATTAGAGGAATTATTTATAGTTGTAGATGTAATAACGTCGTCATCTACAGGAATTGTTACTGAAGGAATGTCTGTGGTTGTTGTTAATTGTAACAATGGTTGTTGTTGTTCGTCTGCCATGTTGATAGGACGAATAAGGTCAGGGAAAAAACTTAAAGCAGGCTCAAGATTAGGACTTGTGTTAAAGGAAGTAGAATTGATTGATCCAACCAATGGTGAATCGAAGTAGCTAATAGGTGAAGGGATTAATGATGGAGTGGTTGTTATTGAAGAATTCATAAGTGGTGAAATATCATAATTGTTATTATGGTTGTTAATAATATTCGTGGTTTTTCAGAGTACTTTACTATTATTTCTATTTTCTATTTTTAATTTTTTCTACATATAATATATATTATAATATATCAGGTTATGGCAACACAAAGCCAATGTTTTTATTTTTTTAATTTTCATTTGTCGTCAACATTGTACGATATTTATGTATAAAATTTTATTTTCATTATATTAAATATTTAAATATATTAATTGTTTGACAAAAATTTATGTTTATTTGATGTTGAAATTTCAATTGATTTTTAATGACTAAACAGAATATATGATCTGTGATAAGATGACGAAGTCGCCCTGTGAAAGAGATTTTATAATATCACTGCCATAATTTTTAGATTCATTTTTAGTTATAAATAAATGGGATAAAGGAGGGTATTGAATCATTATTTATAATGGCATATCCTCCTTTGATCATTTAATGAAGATTTCCCCAAAAAGCACACCTACTTGTGGAGTAAACATATGGAACATTTGATAATCCAGCGAGACTTAAATTGATGGAAGGCTTAGACTCTGTGTTTTGTGTGTTGTAATGACAAAAGCATTTTCATATGCGCTGATTTCGTTTGAACCGTAAAAATTCAGTACGGTATGAATACTTTATACTAGCAAAAACCATTGATTTTGATGGTTTGACGGGCTGTTGAATAGTAAAAATTCTTAATGCTTCTGTACATGCCCCTCTAAGATTTGCTTAAATTGCGCATGAGCTTGGGCTAATTTCTGGGCGTTTTTGGCATTAATACTTAAAGCATTATGCTTACAATCCCGTAGTTTTTTTAGCGGAGCAAATAAATTTTTTTAGAGTTAATTATCATCCTACTTTACCAGTCTACACATTAAAAATATTCATGTTTAACGTCAAGACACAATAAGATATAAGGTTTGAAAAAAGGGTTCAAAAAACCAAATCGGCTTATATGTGTAAAGAAAATTGTGCTTTGGAAGCAAATGAACCGTTTAAATGAAAAAATTTTTTTTTTTGATAATTCAACATCTATAATTTCATCATTTGCAGATCTGGTCGAAATAGGGTTGAAATTTGATTCGACAACAACAATAATAACAAAATAATAACAACAACAACGATAAATAAATAATGGGGAAACTAATGTTCCCTCAGAATTCAATAATGAGGCTGTTCCAAACAATGGCCAACACGGCGGAAGGTGTGGTTGAGGTAACATATCCACGACCTCTTCCCATAATAATAGGTATAATCCATATAATAATAAAAGAAGTTTGTTATCACATCAGTAGCAACCTCAACAATAACATCACCACTACCACCACCAACATCACCAACGCGATTCCCATCACTATCAACAACAACAACAACAAAATCATCATCATCAACAATACCATTCACGGCAACTGGTGTTTGTATATCATTATCAAATTCACGTGGGTCAACCAACACGGTTGCTTTTCTTGCAAATACTATGGTCATAGCCATTAAGATTGTCACTCAGTATTTTGCGGAATAGATGTTTCTGGCGCCGGGGTAACCACCATATCAAACCCCTGAGGCCTTTCCATATTTGCAATGGCAATGGGATTTGCCCCTCCTTCAACGCATGATCTCCATTTTATTGACAACAAGGAACAAACAATACAAGGACAATATTTCTATTCTTACACAATTTTAAATTTAAACATTTTTAATTCAAGTTTTTTAATTCATAGAGTGTATATGTTAATTATTTTTTTTCATATAAATAAAATTTAATATCGCATATTAATATTTATTTTATTTGTTTAAAATAAATGATACTATAAAGACATGCATGACATTAGGAAGCAAAGTGAACATGATTCCGTAAATATTTAATTCACCTTTGCTTGCGATTGGACGTGTTAACAAATTTCTGCATTTATGACTTTAAGGCTGAGATTATTTCGGTTTTATTAACAACTTGCTTCAAAACAGATCATGTGACAAAGAAGTTATGTATCAATACGAAATTCGTCGCAGTGAACCTCGCCACAGCGTATTCCTTTCCTCTTTTTCTATCAATTATAATATTAATTAAAAATGTTTGTCATATTAATATAGCTACTAGTTGGATTCACGCGACATATAAAATTATCCAAATTACCCAAAATTTGATAAAAAATTATTTTTAATCAAGGTCAGTATTAAAAAATAAGCAATAAAACAAAAATTTTATCCAAAGATTTACGGGTAGCAAATTTTCTAAAATAAATCAACAAATCAATAAACAAACAATTGATAGTTGTCCAAATGTTTGCGAGTAGCAACCTTTTCCAAGTTTCAGTAAACAAAGCAAGATCATTTTTTCTAAAGATTCATAATAAAGTTAATTAGATTATAAAGAATTTAAAGCATTTAAATCACTGAAAAGAAATTATTAGATAATGAAAAAAACAATACAACCAAATATTACCCGCCGATCATCTTCCGCTGTGGCGAGGTTTGATTGTATTGTTAATTAACGAAAGAATACAACTCAATCAAATCAACTTTGTAACAATTTAGAAAAGATTGGCAATATTTTGGTAATATTTAGAAAGAAATTGGCAACGATACTATCTCTCTCTGGAAATTTTCGAAAGAAAAGGAAATTTTTCGTTTCACAAAATTGATTGTGTTGTATAAATCTTTTGATCATTGATCATGATTATGATTATGATCACTCTCCCAATTTTGTTAAAGAAAATTAATGAAGCTTTTTTTGAAAAAATCCTCTCCTACTACTAAAAATACCAGCAAGAAATTAATCCATTATTGATTTAGTATTAG